TCAGATCTCCATTAGTGGGAGATGCGGGGGGCAGGGGCGGCGGCCAGAGAGAGCACTTATCTTTTGGAGAGGATTTTTCAATGAGAATTAAATTAGCCGGTAGGTGGAAGGTGACGTTTGGGTGTGAAGCTGGGGCTCAGGATGTGAAGGGAGAATGAGGAATGTGAGGCCAGAATTTATAAGCCACTGTTGGGGCTCACAGGGAACTCGGGGCAGGGTAAGTGGAATTTGAACCCTCCAAGAGGCGGATGGAATTTGGGCTGCGGAGGCCGACCTGAGGATGGGGAGATAAGACAACACAATGAGGGAGTTAAATAAACAATGGAGGGACGGTTTGGTAAATGTTTGTGATTGGATTAGGCTGATGCAGATCCTGGGGCGGCGGGCGTGATTGGGAGGTTGGGGCTCCGGGTGGGAGGGGTCCCCGCTGGCTGCTGATTGACGTGTCTCACTCAACCCGACCCATCGCAGGCTGGAAGATGAAGGTTCTGTGGGCCGCGCTGGTGGTCACGCTCCTGGCAGGTATGTGGGCGGGGCTTGCTCCGTCCTTGCCCTTGCCCCGCCCATGCACACCTGTACCCCGCTTCCATCCCTGGGTGTCTCCTCCTGTTGGTATATCGTCGTCTTGAAGGAGGCCCAGGTACAAGGCCTCACATCCACTGGCTCTGAGCGGCTTCTTTTACTCTCTCTGGGCCTCAGTTTCCCCACCCTTAAAACAGTTCCTGATGGACTGTTGTCGGGCAGAGAGAGAGCTCCAGATTGGTGTCTGCTGTGACTAGTTCTCTTCACAGCATGGGTCCTGCATGCAGCAGCACAGACCCTCAATATATACCCTTCCCCGCCTGCTCTCTGCCTTCCAATGCTCTAAAGAAGCCCGGGAGCATTTATGGAGCACCTGCTGTGTACCAGCTACTCTGTGCCTGGTGGGGGTGATGGCTGTGAACTTGATTCTGTGCAGGATGCTGGGCCGATGTGAAGCCAGAGTCCCCACTGGAGGGGGAGCCAGAGCTGGAGCCAGAGCCGGAGCCGGAGACGAAGCTGGAGCCTGAGGCCAGGTGGCAGGCTGGTCAGCCCTGGGAGCTAGCATTGGCCCGCTTCTGGGATTACCTACGCTGGGTGCAGACGCTGTCTGACCAGGTGCAGGAGGACGTCCTCAGCAACCAGGTCACCCAGGAACTGAAGTGAGTGCCCCTGCCACTCCCAGAGGCCAGTGCCTTCTGGACCCCCGGCCGTCCCCGCTCTGGGTTTCTTTGTGTCCCTGCCACCAGCTCTTTGGCATCTCTGGTCATGTCTTGCTTCCTCTTTTACATTTCGAGCTTCTGGCTTGATGGACCCTCCCTGCCTCTGGCCACCCGTTGTCGCACCCTTCCGTTTCATCTCTGCTTCTGCCCTGGCCCTGTCCCCATCTTGCCTCCCCTCCCTCACCCCTCCTGGGTTTTCCTGCTTCTCTCTCCCACCCTCTGTACACACACGCTCCTGCCCTCTCTGCCCCCAGGGTGCTGATGGAGGAGACCATGAAGGAGGTAAAAGCCTACAGGGCGGAGGTGGAGGAGCAGCTGGGCCCCATGGCCTCGGAGACACAGGCCCGCGTGGCCAAGGAGCTACAGGCGGCGCAGGCCCGGCTGCGCTCGGACATGGAGGACGTGCACAACCGCCTGACACAGTACCGCGGCGAGGTGCAGGCCATGCTGGGCCAGAGCACCGAGGAGCTGCGGGCGCGCTTCGCCTCCCACTTGCGCAAGCTGCGCAAGCGGATGCTGCGGGACGCCGAGGACCTGCAGAAGCGCCTGGCCGTGTACCGCGCCGGGGTGCGCGAGGGCGCCGAGCGCAGCGTGAGCACCATCCGCGAGCGCCTCTGGCCGCTGCTGGAGCAGGCCCGCACGCGGCACGCCAACTTGGGGGCCCTGGCCACCCAGCCGCTACGGGAGCGGGCCGACGCCCTGGGCCAGCAGCTGCGCGGGCAGCTGGAGGAGGTGGGCAGCCGCGCCCGCAGCCACCTGGAGGAGGTGCGCGAGCAGATGGAGGAGGTGCGGGCCAAGATGGAGGAGCAGGTCAACCAGATGCGCCAGCAGGCCGAGGCCTTCCAGGCCCGCCTCAAGAGCTGGTTCGAGCCCCTGGTGGAAGACATGCAGCGCCAGTGGGCTGGGCTGGTGGAGAAGGTGCAGGCGGCCATGGGCACCAGCCCCACCACCGCAGCGCCGGTGGAGACGCAATGAGTGGGCCCCGCCCGCGCCGCGCGGTGTGCCCCGCCCCTGCCCTCACCCCTACTCCCCTGGCCCCGCCCCGGCTGTCCTGCGGGAGGGCCCTCGCCTAATAAAGATTGACCAACCCCACCGCGCTTGATGGACGTCCGTGTGTGATTTCTCCCGACTTGGCGCCTCGGTTTCTCTTTCCGCCCCACTCTGGCCACGCAGCTCTGTCCTGTCCCCTCTGCTCCCTTCTGTCCCTTTCAGAGTCTCCCTTTTTGCTCGGTCTCTGCTCAGCAGTGCTTGCTCGCTCTCTCTACCTTCTCTGTCCCTTCGGGTTCTGAGACGCGGTTCGAGACCAGATCCATCCCTGGAGTAGATACGGTGGTCACCCCTGACTATAGGGATTGGGGGTGGGCTTGCTCAGCTCCGGGATACCTCCTCGGTGGAGCTGGGACCCCAAAGCCACTGCTGTCAGTTTTAAGCCTCTCTTGTGGCTTCTGTCTTACCTGATTTGCCTCCTGCCGTCTCTTGGATGCCTGGCCTGCTCTGTCTGAGGCTTCATTTTTCTGGCTTCCCGTTTCCCCCACCCCCTACCCCTGACCTCTTTGAACTCTTTCTCCTAAAGTTTTCACAGCCCTGGCTTTGCCTGTTCTTGTTTCCCTTCTCCTCCTATCTGGGTTTGTCCTCTCCACCCTCTGTCCTACTTGGGCCCTCTCTGGCCTTCACCTTCCGTCTGGGTTTACAGGTGTCTTCATCGGAAGTGTGTTTCCCTGCCCCTTGCCCCCTCATTCTCCTCCTCTCTGCCTTCCAGCTGGGTGGCTGATGTCTATCCAACAAGCCTACTGGGTGCTGGATCCTGGCTGGGGAAAAGGTGGCTGCCCATCTCCCCCACCCCACCCCCATCCCCCATGAGGGGCTGCACCGCCCCACCCCCCAGGTAGAGTCCTGGGGTCCACTGTTGGGAGCCAGTTGATTGACACACTGCAGCAGTAAGGACTGGGCCCTGGAGATGCCCGCTGGCATTCTCTCCCACCCCCTCAATTCTCAGAGGAGGGGAGCAGGGCTCCCAGCCCAGGGGACAGGCTGGGGCTTGAACTTGTACCTCCCAGGCCCAGCCTGCGTGCTCAACCATGTGGCTCCTGCCTACTCTGCACTCCCAGCTTTTCCAGCTCCCATGAGTGCCCTTGTGGAGGCAGGCTCTCGTCCCCATGCCCCAGATGACTCACCCAGTCTGGGTGAGGAGGAGAAGGGTCAGTGGGCTCAGAGGCAGGGGACCTAGTCCCAGCCAAATGTGCTCCTGATTCACTGCGTGCCCTGGAGTTGGGGCCAAGTCCTCTGAGCCACAGATGGCAATGGTGGGGGCTGGCCTCAGCCATGTCTCCCCCTTGAAGAGCTGAATTTTGAATTCTCATGAAGACAAGTCTAGAGATGATGGCAAAGGCCGGAGAAGGAGTTTTGGGAGAACAGAGGCTGGCAGGGGTGCTGTAGGCCGGAGGCTGACACCCCATAGAGGTTTAGAGAGACAGCCTGGAGTCCAGAAAGTGGAGGAACAGAGAATACCACCACCACCACCACCCCGCCCTAGGACTTAGCCCCTGGCTAAGCCATTGAATGTGCTTGGCTGTGCCTCAGTTTCCCCATCTGTAAATGGAAACCCCCATAGCTAGAATGAGGAGGAGACTGGAAAAGCAAAGTTGTTATAAAATTCTGGTGGGGTGGGGGAGAAAGGGGAGCAGACCTTTGGGTGGATGTCTGGGGAATGCTAGGCTCGCAGGGGAAGCAGATGTCTGGGAAGGCAGCTGGGGGGCTGACGGGGACTAGATGCACTGAGCTGGCCAAAAAGGTTGTCGCAATCCTGCCAGGGTCATGTCTGTGTGTCCCTTTCACAACCATCCCCCCTAACCCCCGGGCTGACACGTGGTTGTGGGGGCACAAGGCCAGCCAACCTCAAGTCTGAGGCCAGGGCCGCCCTCCCCACAGCTGCCAGGGATCACTGGCGGTCAAAGGCAGCCAGAAGAAGGGGGAAAGCATTGGACTCCAGCCCTGAGGGACGGATGTGGTGGGAGGATACCAAGCGGGGGGAGGGCTAGTGCCAGGAGGGGCCAGAAGGGGTAAGGGCAGATGGAGTGTTTACCAGGGGGCCCGGAAGCTCGCAGAGTGGGAGAGCAGAGGGCAAAGAGGGGCCTGGAGGGATGGATGGAGGCCATACGCTGGGGGTGGGGGGCTGTGGAATGAAGACCCCAGAGCTCCACCTCCCTGATGCAGGGAGGGGGCGGGGTGGGGGCTTGAGGGCTGATCTGAAAGTGAGACTGATAGTGGCAAGGGGCTAGGAATGTGAGGGGCAGAGTAGGTGGCCCTCGAGTCCTGGAGGAAGTTGTTCCTGCTGAAGTGGCTTGCTAAGAAGGGAGGGGGTGGAAGAGGAGGCCTGAGGAGTTCCCGTGAACTGAGTTACAGAGTTACTGAGTGCCTGAGAGACACCCACTCCCACCCTGGCCTGGAGAAGGGTGTTCTGCAGGAGAGACCCTGGAGGGAAGATGGCCATGAGGAGAGACTAAAGGTAGTCCCCTCCTGTGGGGAAGGGACTACCGGTAGGCTGAGATCCACCAACGGGCAGATTTGGAGGTGTAGGTGTGACCAGCAAGAGACTTTAAACCCAAGGGCTGTGCCTACACCCACCTGACCCATCAACCCTCGCCAGTCCGGCGCTCGAAAGAGGAAAACGTGGGTGGGCACAGGGGTTAGGCCATCTGCCAGAGGCTTAAGGGGAGGGATTAACCTGCCCCACCCCCTCCCCAGCCCGATAAAGGCCTCGGTCTGGCCAGCACCTCCCACTCGTGATCGCCTGCGACTGATCAGGTCGGTGCTCGATACCCCGGAGGGTTGCCCCTCCAAGAGCACTAGAAAGGGGGTGGAGGGAACTCCAGGGAGGGAGAAGGGGGGGGGTCACTAATCACTCCCCGCCCCCCACCTGATTCTGCTTCCAGAGTGCCCCTCCGGCCCAACAATGAGGCTCTTCCTGTCGCTCCCGGTTTTGGTGGTGGTTCTGGCGATGGTTTTGGAAGGTAAAAGTAAGATAGGAGAATCTGGGATTTTGAGCTTTGGAAACCTGAGGCTGGCCCCGAGCTTGCAGGCCGAGCTTGGAGGACCCTCGAGAGCTCTGGGGCCTCTTCTGGGCCCTGGTTTTCCTCTCTCTCTCACCAATCACTCCACCCGCAACCACGCCAGGTGGGTGAGGGCTCTCTAAGGGGCGGTCCCGCCGGTGGCTAATCTGCCGGGACAAGCCCTAGCAACGGATGATGTATGTACTGGCACCTCCAGGATTGGCTGTCTTGCTTTTACAGCCTGGAAAGGGGAGGAGGAAGGCAGTGCTGAGAGTAAGCTAATTCCCCGAGCCTGAGCTCCATCTGGTCGCGTTAGTACCCTCTCCCCGCCTCCGAGTCTAACACCTCCGAGTCTAACACAGTGACCTCCAAGAATCGCTTTCAAGGATCCCCTCTCCCACCCCTGAAATGTCATCCCAAGGGCTCCCAAAACTGAAATTTTTGTACCCCTGCCGGTCTTCTGGGCAGGCCCAGCCCCCGCCCAGGCGGCCCCGGAAATCTCCAGCACTTTCGAGCGCATCCCGGATAAGCTGAAGGAGTTTGGTAACACCCTGGAGGACAAGGCCCGGGCTGCCATTGAGACCATCAAGCAGAGCGACATTCCTGCGAAGACCCGGTTAGGAACCTTCCTAGGGCTTGGGAGGGCTGGGGTAGATCACTAACAGATTGGGGAAACTGAGGCCTGGAGAAGCAGACAGCTTCCCTGTGGTCACAGCTGTATCCAAGGGTGCTCAGATGTGGGGGACAGACTCCTGACTCCCATCCTGCGTGGTGGTGAAAGACCGGCCGAGCTTGGGAGCCCATCAGACCCGGGTCCACAGGCCGCAAAGATTCACCACTCTTTGTGTGATCTTGGGGTGGATGTGGAGGAGCCTTTTTCTTCACCTGTGAAATGGGTGACTCTGAGGAGAAGCAAACTAGGGGATTTGCGTAATGCCCGGCTCATGGTAAACACCAGCAGGCTAGTTCAGCCAACTCCATTTCGCAACTTAGAGAATCATTCATTCATGAACAAATACCTATCGCGCATCTGCTAAGTGTCCAGGGCTGCTCCACGGTGGGGAATAATAGTGATGAATGAGATGAAGTCCCAGCCCACAGGGAACAGATTGTAAACCAGTGAGTGTCCCCAAGATGAGCCCAGAGAGGGCTGACCACGGAGAAGACAACAAACGGGGGTGTAAACAACCAGTGTGGGGCTTGCACTCATAACCCCAAGATCAAGAGTCGCTTGCTTCACCGACTAAGCCAGCCAGGCACCCCCTTTCATATCTCCATTTAAAGGGCGCTTCGGGGCGCCTGGATGGCTCAGTTAGTTAAGCTTCAGACTCTTGATCTCAGCTCAGGTTTTGATCTCGGGGTCGTGAGTTCGAGCCCCCATGAGGCCTGGTTGTCTTACTTACAAAAAAAAAAAAAAAGAGAGAGATCTGAGTGATTAGGAAAATCCAGCCAGGCCTAGAAACATGGAAAGAATGTTCTCTGCCTGAGCCAGGAAGATATGTACATAATCCAGGCCAGAGGGACAGCCTAGGCAAAGACAAGGAGGCAACAGAGGGCCCTTGAATAAGCAGGGGACGGCTAGGCCAGAGCAAGCTTAATAAAGAGATAGCAAGCCTTCAAAGTTGGGCCACAGTGGAGGCTTCTGACTTCAAAGGGCTCTGGTCGGTCTGGGAAACCCATCCCAGGGCTCCTTCCAATCCCACAGATATGGGAGCCATGCTCCTTCCTGGGGGGCGGGGGGGAAGATGGGGGAGGCTGGTAAGGAGGCAGGATCTGGGCCCCCTGAGGGAAGACGAAACACTGTGACTCCTTGTCTGTCTCTCCCTGCAGGAACTGGTTTTCTGAGACTTACAACAAAGTGAAGGAGCGGCTTAAAACTGCCTTCTCCTGAACCCCAGGAGAGTTGCCCCCCTCCTCTGGGCTCTGTGCCCCTGAGGGGGCTCCGAAACTTCCTGTATCCTGGCTCCTGCCGAGGACTTCGTGCTGCCCAAACCCATCCCCACCCTCCAATAAAAATCCCGTGGAGAATTCTGAGTGCTTCTTTGCTGTGAGGAGGGGGCTCAGGGTGGGACATGGTGGATTGGGGAGAGAGGCAAGGAGGCAAGTGTATTAGGATTGTCTACTTGACCTGCGCCGAGGACTTTGAACTTCATGGTCTCAAAAAAAAATCCTCATGAAAAATTTGGGAGCGGGGCCCTGTTAATTCTGTGAGGGCATTGAGGCCCTGAGAGGTGAAGTCACTTGTCAGGAAGGGGAGAGCTGCATCGGACCCCCAGCCTGAGTTTACTGCTATGCTATATTCTTCCCTGGCCAGGTTGCCCAAGGTGTGGGACCTGGGGGGGTTCATCATCGTGCACGCAGCATGTGTTTATTATTCTTAAAATGGATAATAAAGAGGGATGTGGAAGGAGCAAGGATAGGATCTGGGCTAAAGCTCTGGAAGAGATCTATCTAAACAGTCCCCACCCTCCAAGGAAGCTTTGACGTCCCCTCCTCCAGGAAGCCCTCCTTAGCCCCCAGGCTGGGTCATCACTACCTGGGGATGGGGCAGTTTTCCCACTGGACTGTGAGCCCCAGGAGGACAGGGCTGGGGTTGTCATCACCACTGTTCCCAGGCACAGTCCCGCAAGGGACTGGGCGCACTGCAGGATCTCCGTACTACTGGGTGGAATAATTATTCTCAACTGGAAAAAAACACCTAAACATTATATTGTTTTAAAAAGATTTTATTTATTTATTTAAGAGAGAGAAAGAGCACAGAGGGAGAAGGAGAGGGAGAAGCAGACTCCCCGTTGAATAGAGACCCTGAGGTGGGGCTTGATCCAGGACCCAGAGATCACCGCCAGAGCCAAAGACAGACGGTCAACCGGCTGAGACACCCAGGTGCCCCTAAACATTACATTTTCACAAAACTCCTCTGAGGTAGGTGCTGTCACTAGCCCTATTTGACAAAGAAACTGAGACACAGAAGTCTCAAGTCACTTATATGATGTCACACAGCCAAAAACGGGTAGAGCTAGGATTTGAGTGTAGGCTAGGGGTAGAGGGGAACAGTTCCAGGGGCCACATCCTTACTCCACTTTCCTTGTTCCTGAATCACCAGTCAGACATGTCGGCTGTAATGTCTCTCTCTCTCTCTCTCTCTCTCTCTCTCACACACACACACACACACACACACACACCTGGCCCTGGGCCTCGCCAGCATCATCCCCAGCATATTAAAATGCCCCTATAGGCGCCTGGGTGGCTCAGTCCGTTAAGCATCTGCTTTGGGCTCAAGTCATGATCCCAGGGTTCTGGGATCAAGCCCTGCATTGGCCTCCCTGCTCAGCAGGGAACCTGCTTCTCCCTCTCCCTCTGCCTACCACTCCCCCCGCTTGTGCCCTCTCTCTCTGACAAATAAATAAATAAAATCTTTAAAAAAGAAAGAAAAAGAAACAGGAGAAGGCACATAGGGTGGTGCCATCGGTGTAAACTGAGAACACATGCCTGGGGAACAATCTTGTGGCTTTGAGCTCTTCCTGTCTGAGGACAGCTCTGAGCCCATCGGAGGGATGCCCGAGGCGTGAGGGTGGGGAACAAAGGTGGGAAATAAATAAATGTAAGTCTCTGTACTCAGTGCCCGTCCCCCCCAAATCAGTCCCCCAAGCTCCTTCCACTCCCCTCCCACTTGGCTGCCAAAGGGATCCTATTAAAACACAAGTCACGGGGCGCCTGGGTGGCTCAGTGGGTTAACCTCTGCCTTCAGCTCAGGTCATGATCCCAGGGTCCTGGGATCGAGCCCCGCATTGGGCTCTCTGCTCAGCAGGGAGCCTGCTTCCCTTCCTCTCCCTCTGCCTGTCTCTCTGCCTACTTGTGATCTTTGCCTTTCAAATAAATAAATAAAATCTTTAAAAAAAAAAAACACAAGTCACATCACGCCCCTTCCTCTGCTCAGACCCCTCCCTCCAGCCTCAGAGGAAAACCCGAAGATGGTATCAGAGTCTACCAGCTCGTACTACCCGGCCCCATCACTTCTGTGTCCTCTCCCCCTCCCTCACGTCCAACTCCTCAGGCTCCTCTGACACATTGGGCAGGAGCCGACCCCAGGGCCTTTGCATTTGTTATCTCCCTGCCTGGAATGCTCTTCCACCAGATGTCCAGATAGCTGCCTGGCTGCCTTCTCACTTCCTCGGGGTCTCTATTGCGCTCCCCACACGGCTTTCCCATCACTCTCCCATATCCGTATCTGCCTTTCTTTCCAGTAGGTGCTACCCTCTAATATATGTCTATTTGCTTATTTGTTTCCTGCCTATGTCTCCCACTGCTGGGATGTCAAGTTCATGGAGGCTGTCTTGTCTCCTGCAGGGCCGCCGTGTGTCCAGAACAGTGCCAGGCATGCAGTAAGAGCTCAGGCAATACTTCTGGAATGTGAACAAACATTTCCATGGACCAGCTTCCACGTAGATGCATGATTCCCATTCATTACCCACTGGTGAACTCATTCATTCTCATTGTTTTTAAAGATTTTATTTATTTGACAGAGAGAGAGATCACAAGTAGGCAGAGCGGCAGGGAGAGCGAAAGAGAGGAAAGCAGGCTCCCTGCTGAGCAGAGAGCCCAACGCAGGGCTCAGTCCCGAGACCCTGAGATCATGACCTGAGCCAAAGGCAGAGGCTTAACCCACAGAGCCACCCAGGTGCCCCTCATTCATTCTCATTTTAAGATTTTCTTTTTTTTTTAATAAGTCCTTTATTTTTTTTAAAGATTTTATTTATTTATTTATTTGACAGATGAAGATCACAAGTAGGCAGAGAAGCAGGCAGAGAGAGAGGAGGAAGCAGGCTCCCTGCTGAGCAGAGAGCCTGATGCGGGACTCGATCCCAGGACCCTGGGATCATGACCTGAGCTGAAGGCAGAGGCTTTAACCCACTGAGCCACCCAGGCGCCCCTCATTTTAAGATTTTCTTTTTATACTTTATATTTAGAGCCAATGTGTTTGTTCTGTTCGGTTACAAACATACCTCCAGGACCTCACAGAGCAAATAGCCTGGAACACACCAAGAACAAAAACAGCAGGAGAGCCCCAGATGTGCATGTAGAAACATGCACTTGGGGAGCAGAGGTGGCCCATCCAGACAGCCCCACCCATGGCGCACACTCCACACAGCAGGTAGGGCAGGGATGGAGTACTCCCTGTGGGCACCTGGCTCAACCTAGCTGGTCAGGGAGGACTCCCTGGAGGAGGGGACACAGCACCCAAAACCCAAAAGACGATTCAGAAGTTGTCAAAAAGAGGGGCGCCTGGGTGGCTCAGAGGGTTAAGCCTCTGCCTTCGGCTCAGGTCATGATCTCAGGGTCCTGGGACTGAGTCCTGCTTTGGGCTTCCTGCTCAGTGAAGAAGCCAGCCGCAAGAGGCCATGGAGGGTATGATTCCAATCAACTGACATCCAGAAGAGGGAAATCCATAGAAACAAGAAGGGGATCAGTGGTGGCCCTGCTGAGCCAGGGGGAAGAAAGCAAAGGGAGTGACCCTGATGGGCTAACTAACGGGTATGGGGGTTTCTTTTCAGGGTGATGGAAATGTTCTGGAATCAGATGGTGGTGATGGTTGCACAACTTTGCAAATATGCTAAAAAAAAAAAAAAACCCACACACACATTGGATTGTACACTTTAAAAGGGTGAATTTTATGGTATGCAAATATCTCTGGTTTTTTGTTTTGTTTTAAGTAAGGCTCCAAGCTGGGCGGGCTTAAATCACAACACTGAGATCAAGAGTCAGATGGGCTTAACCTACTGAGCCACCCGGGCGCCCCAGTATCTCTGTGTCTTAACAATGAAGGAAAACAGAACTCTCAAGACAGAAAGCAGAAAGAAGAGATAAAGGAGGGGACATTTCAACCTCTCTTGGGCCCCAGACATTCCTGCCATAACCCAGGGATGCAGAGAAGGGAGGTGGGGGCCCAGGAGAGCTGGAAGGGAGGTGGGTTCCAGGATTCAGGAGTGAGGGGAGGGGGTCTGGACTGGGGGAAAGTGATTTTGGTGTCTGGTGGTCTCTGACACAGAGCTGCAGGCTCTGAGATGCTCTCTGCCCCCAGACACATGCACTGGGGTCTCAGAGCCCACCCCTCCCACCCCTACTCCCCTCTTGTGACCTTTCTCTCTGCTCCCATCACCCACTCCCAGTTGTTATTCAACTGACTCTGAGGTCCACCCTGAACAAACTTCAGCCTGTTCCTGTTCCCAGGATGGACAAACATTGCAAACAGCAAACAGCCCACACTGACCTTGGAGCCAGGGGCAGGGGTCAGTGACCTCCCTGAGGTCCATCCTGCTGCCAGCCCCGCTCTAAACTCCCTCTTGACCTCTAGGACCCAGGTGAGGAGGGGCCGCAGGGGTTGTCCTAAGTTGGTTAGCGGTGAGGGATCCGGGTTCAAATTCACCACTTGCTGGTTGAGGAGCCATTAGTCAGTGGCCTCACCCCCCACCCCCAAGCCTCTGTGTTCTCATCTGTAAAATGGGAATGATGAAGATGCCTGGACCATTCATTGAGTTAAGGCACCAAACCACCACCAGCTGTGGTGCCTAGTGCAGAATATGTGCTCAGAAAACACAAGCTTGGGGCACCCGGGGACCACAGTCAATTGAGTGTCTGCCTTCGGCTCAGGTCATGATCCCAGGGTCCTGGGATGGAAACCTGCATCAGTCTCCCTGCTCAGTGGAGAACCTGCTTCTCCTTCTCCCTTCCCCCCCAGCTTGTGCTCCCTCTCACTCTCACCCTTGTTCTCTCTCAAATAAATAAAATCTTAAAAAAAAAAAAAAAAAGAACAAAAACTCAAGTTTAATAAATAGCCTTTGACCTTGACTGAGCACCTCTGCGGGTATCTGGCGCTGCCCACTGCAATTTACATAAACAGTCTCCTCTACTCTCCAGGGCAGCTGGTCCATGACTCCCAGACATGGACAGAGAAAACAGGCCCAGAGAGGTTAAGTGACTTGCACCAGGTCACACAGCAGGGGGGATGTGGAGGCAGGCTCCGAACCCCATGTGCCTTGTGCTTACGCACAATGCATGGTGGGCTTTTCTTTTTCTTTTCTCTACAGTCAAATATAGAATATAAAATGTACTGGGACCTAAGTCCAGGAGGCAACATTTCTGGGGGCTCTCGTTCCTCTGTTCCTCCTCTGTGCTCAGCTCTCCTGGCCAGGGGAGGGGGAGGCTGTGCCGCAGGGCAGAGAGCAGAGCCCTCCCCTGGCTGCCTCCCCTTGGCAGGGACTTCAGAGACAGGGGCCCAGGTGACAGTGACAAACAGAGGCCTTACCCATCCCTGCTGGCCTCCCTCCTTCCTCTGTTACTGTCCTAGGGGTATGCTTCAGTGCCATTAGGGATGTTCCCAAGGTTGTGCCACCATCGTCACCATCCATTTCTGGAACTTTCTCGTCATTCCAAACAGAAGCTCACGGACATTTCATCCCCCACCCCAGAAGTTTCATTTTGCTCATTATTGTTGGCGGGGAGCTGCAGGGCACTTTGTTGCACACCTACTGCGTGCTGGAGCCTGGGCTGGGGCCCCTGGGGGAGCAGCATTCTGTTGGAAGCTGCCCCTTATCTGGGGGGGGGGGAGGAGGAGAAGCATTCCAGGACCCTCAGGGGATGCCCAAAACCACAGAGAGTGCCAAACGCTGGATCTACTGGGTTTTTTCCTGTCCGTACACACCTACGATAAAGTTTAACTTATAAATTAGACACAGGGGTGCCTGGGTGGCTCAGTTGTTAAGTGTCTGCCTTCATCTCAGGTCACGATCCCTGAGGTCGTGCGTTGGAGCCCCCAGTGGGGCTCCGTGCTCAGCGGGGAGTCTGCTTCTCCCTCTGCCTCTGCCCCTCCCCCTGCTCATGCTGGCACTCTCTCTCTCTCTCTCAAACAAATAATTAATACAAAAGGTGGGGGGACTATCAGATAAGTTGCTCAGGCTGTGGCCAAGTTGCAGTTGTCCTATTCACCGCATAAAAATACAGGATCCCGGGACGCCTGGGTGGCTCAGTGGGTTAAGCCTCTGCCTTCGGTTCAGATCATGATCTCAGGGTCCTGGGATCGAGTCCCACATAGGGCTCCTTGCTCAGTGAGGAGCCTGCTTCTCTCTCTGCCTCTTGCCTACCACTTTGCCTGCTTGTGCTCTCTGACAAATAAATAAATAAAATCTTAAAAAAAAAAAAAAAAGAAAATCATCGTAAACAGCCATGATCTGTGAGCCCCACCATGACCATGGTTCTCATTAAGACGTTTCCTTATATCACTTCATTCAGTCAAAATCCTGCCTCAAGTATGGATTGTAGGCCCATTTTTCAGAGGAGGGAACTGAGGCCAGAGATAGGGGCCAGCAGGTGAGGTGGACCGAGGATTTGAACACCAGTCACTGTAGGAGGCCGGAGAGCCTTCCCCTGTCAGGCCAGAGTCCTAGGAGGGTAGGAAGGAAGGAGGCCAGCAGGGGTGGGTAAGGCCTCTGCTTGTCACTGTCACCTGGGCCCCTGTCTCTGAAGTCCCTGCCAAGGGGCGTGGGGAGGCAGCCAGGGGAGGGCTCTGCTCTCTGCCCTGCGGCACAGCCTCCCCCTCCCCTGGCCAGGAGAGCTGAGCACGGAAGAGGAACAGAGGAACAAGAACCCCCAGAAATGTTGCCTCCTGGACTCAGGCCCCAGGCCCTGCCCTCCTTCTGCTTCTGTGTTCTGGTCCTGGCCTGTGTTGTGGGTGAGGAGGTGTGGATACAGGTTTGTGTGGGGTGTGCAGGCTGGCAGACGCATGGGTAGGGAGCTTGTGTGTTTCATCGTGTGCAGATGGGTGTGCATTTCTGGTGGCCGCGTGAGAGGTGTGCACGTGGGGCTGGTGCAAATGCCCGGGGTGGGGGACGTGCCTTGGTGTGGGTATTTGCACAAGAATAGAACGTCACGGTAAATGCGTGTGCCAGCGAACATACCTATGTAGGTTGGCGTGCACACGTTTTCATGCAGAAGTTATGAGTGTGTAGATGACATGAGGGTGTCTATGTGTTGGTATGTGAACCTGTCTGCATTCTGCACGTGCATGTAAAATTTTAACACTCCAGTGTGCAAGGCATCTTCCCAACTGCCTCATGTGTGGCTAACTCTGAGTTCTCCCAGGATCCCTGAGGTAGGGCCTCTCATTATCCCATTCTGCAGAAGGGAAAACTGAGTACAGAAGAGGTTCAGTCATTGGCTAAAGAACCTCGCAGGTCCTATGGGTGCTTCTGTACGTGCATGATCGTGTGTGTCTGCATGAAGGCTGGGATCTGTAGGTGACGACACTCTGCCCAGTAGGCGTGAGAGTGCTGGAAAGGCAGGTGTGTCCGAGGAGGTCAAGTGCGATCCGAGGCAGACCCCTGGCCCCCTGGGGAGGAACAAACAGCACAGCCCTACCAGCCTCCATCCTTGGGGGTGGGCAGTCTTCCTGTGCTCTCCCTCTGCTGTCTGCAGAGGTGGTTCAGACAGTGTGGGGTCGTGGGAGACCCGAGGGGGGACAGCAAGCTCAGGTAGTAAAGGAAGCATCAGAAGAGGGGTGGGGCCAAGGGGTTACAAAACTGAGGGGGACACCATGGGCAGACAGAGGGGTGACTGAAGGGGCCGCAGGCACAGAGGGTGAAAGGCAGCAGTGACGGGTGTCAAGGGGCTGCCCTCGGGCCACCAGGGGGGACAGTGATGGTGAGCACAGAGGGGAAAGCAGGAGGAAAGATTCTCAGGTCCCAGCCCACCCATGTGGCCCTCTGGTCCCGCCTAGCCCGCCAGCAAGCCGTGACCACAGAATCCCCAAGCCCCCAACCGGGGCTAGCGAGTGGTTCTTGGAGCCTGCTGCCTGACAAGGTGAAGGTGCTGGTGACCAGGACCAGAGAGAATTGGCAGTGGTTCTGGTGAGTGTGTGCCCCGTGCTTGGGGGATGGGTGGACTCTCGGGTCTGAGGGAGGTGGGGCTGGGGGCAGGACTCCTGGGTCTGACGGAGGAGACGCTGGGGGCCTGGACCCCTGGGTCTGAGGGAGGAGGGGCTGAGAGTCTGGACCCCTAGGTTAGAAGGAGAACCTGGGTCAGAGGGAGGAGGGGCAGGGCCGGAACTCTGGGGTTCTGAGTGAAGTAAGCCTGTGACCTCTGGGTCTGAGAAGAGCGGAGAGTAAGAGTCGAGAGCAGACACTCCTAGGTCTGAAGGAGGAGGGCTGAATGGGACAGCGGAAGTCTTGGGGGTGGCTGGGGTCTCAGCTGTTAGGTCCCCTCTCCTGCAGGGGACCGGAGGCCTTCCAGGGCTTTGTGAAGACCTACTACGATGACCACCTGAAGGGCCTGAGCGTCCGCTCCCAGGCCTGGCTCCGAAGCTCCAAAGACAGCCTTCTGAACCGGGCCCACAGCCTGTGCCCCCGGCTTCTCTGTGGGGATGGGGACTAGAATTAAAGTTTCTGCCGCCGCCACAATAAAGACATACTTCTCTTGTGTCCCTATCCCTGTCCCTTCCCACTGTGGCCGCCCCCAGCAGTTCTAGAGTAGAGGACGTGACACCTGGCCACGGAGGGACGGTGGTGGTGGGGCCCTGAGCGGAAGGAGTCAAAGAGATCACTTCCTTCTCCCAGCCCTGAGACCCACCCCTGCGGGCTTGTGGGGGGAAGGAGACCTCAGACAGCCGAGTTTGGGGTTGGAGGGGGAAGGCTGGAGTGCGGATGCGGTCAGCAGGTCCCCACAGCCACCTGTCATTCCAAGCTCTGCCTTTGCCTCCTACGTGAGGGAAACCCCAGTCCCCTCTCCTGGTGGGTGCCCAGAACCCCTAACTCTTCACAGCCCCCCACCCAGCCTGTCTCTCTCAGGAGTGAGTTTTCAGAGTGGGGGGTCCCCTGTGGCTTGACCCTGGGGACAGTCACTGCCCTCTCTGCCCCGCACCGCCCCCTCAGCGGCCCTGTTGGCTCGGACTTTGGCCTAGGGACAAGGTGAGGGTGGTGGCTGTGGACAGGGAGGTGGACCACAAGAACTATAAAGCCCTTCTCTGCCCGCGTGGAGCCAGTGAGGACAGCCTGCCAGAGCCAGGTAAGAGAGGGACCAGGACGGAAATGGGGAAGGGTCAGCAGGGAGGGGGCAGAGATAATATGCAGTCAGAAACCCCACAGAGTCCCGACGTTAGATTCCTCTGTTGGAAGGGCGGGATTTAGAATCTTAGACCGTTTCCCCTGTGCCGATGCCCCTCGGGGTTGGATCTCAGCCTCATCTCCAAATTGCAGGCGACAGTAAGGCCTCTGGGCACTGTCATCGCTGAGCTGAGTGCTTCTGTCACCACGGGGCAGGGCGGTGGGGAGTGAAGACAGACAAGGCACGCAGAACAGGGCCTGGGGCATCAGAAACGGGCCTCCTGAGTGTATGAGGTGCATCCCCATACCCACTGGGTCTCAGTGGGATGTCACCCTCTGCCAAGCCTTTCCTAGGCCACGCATGTGACACGGCCTCCCCCCTCTGGAGTACTTATCCCCTCCCCCACAACGTGTCCCCCACTTGAGGACACGCTGTACATTTTCCTCATTTAATACCACTGATTGTATTTCTCTCTCATGTGGGCTGCGGAAGGGCAGGGCTGTCGCCTGAGTTCACGGCAGGGGCCCAGGGCCTTGCTTGGCACACGCGGTTAGGTGCTCAAGAAAGGCTTCTCGAGGGAATGAAGGGATGTTAGAACGAAGGTGTGAAAATCAGGAGAATCATAAAATGTTAGACAATGAGCCCCAAGCACAGGCACTGGCAGCTAGACTCAGCGTGGGGCCGGGGGGCGGGGGGAGACCTAGATGTCACTGACGACCCTGCCCCACAGCCTTCTCAGCGTTCCAGGTCTTCTGAAGCTATGGGCACCCGATACCTCCTGGTTCTGGTTCTTGTCCTCCTGGTCTTGGGATGTGGTGAGTGTGTTTGGCAGGGGACAGACGAGGGGTTTGTGAGGGGGACGAGATGAGCTCTAAGCGTCTTCCCAGTCCAGTCCTCGCCTGGCCCTTGTCCCCCTCCTTCCCTGCCTCGTTGCCCCCTGCAGCAGGCTCCTCAGCTCTCCTAACACGCTCCCCCCTGCAGAGGTCAGCGGGGCCCACATGCCCCAGCAAGATGAAGCCGCCAGCCCTGCCCTGCTCACTCAGTTACAAGAATCACTCTATGGCTACTGGGGTTCAGCCAGATCGGCCGCCCAGGAGCTGTACGAGAAGACATACCTGACCACCATGGATGAGAAAATCAGGTATCAACCCGCCCCCACTGGGAACCGGGAGTCCTGGCACCCAGCCCTGCCCGAACCCCGGATTCTGAGATCCCAGCCCCGTCCTCCCTAGGGATCCAAGAGTTTGGGTTCCAGCCACCTTTTCCCACAGGACACATAATTCTGGGCCCCCCAGTCTGTTTCTCCCCTAGACTCGGGGTACTCCCAGCCTCCTCCCCGCTCTGAGCATCTGTCCTTTCTCCCCAGGGACCTATACACCAAAAGCACAGCAGCTATGAGCACTTACGCAGGGATTTTCAGTGACCAGTTACTTTCTATGCTGAAGGGAGACCAGTAGCAGCTGGGGCCCCGACCGGGGGGGAAGGGAGAGTCCAGACCCCACAACCCCTTGGCTCCTCTGCCCTGCCCCCCACTTCTCAGCAGCTGTCAGCATCCTGCTCCCAACACTAGTCTGTCTTCTTACAAATAAATTAATGTACAAAGCCATTTATTTTATTCCATGTGGTTGCTTTTCTAAGACCAAGATGGCCACTGATTCTGTCCATCCAATGGTTATTGAGTGCCCATTAGACATATGGAGGCCTAACTTGGTCAGTGGGAATAACAAGGTAAATAATAACAAGGAATAATCGTAACAGCAAAATTAGAGACTGTCCTTCCCCAAGGTCTGGGCTTCTCCTCTGTAAAATGACAAACCAGAAACACAGCTAACTTCCAGCGGCCTCTGGCAACATCCAGGCCCTGGACAGGTCCTTTAAATGTGCCTCCCAGTGAGGTGTCCCGTGGTCCTGTGTCAGAGGGGAGACTGGTGCCCGGAGGCCACTACTGAGCATGGGAAATCAGAGCCAAGGTGGTCTGGGACCCAAGAGGATCGGTCTACAAAAGCGATGCTCTGTGACAATTCTTATACACTTGTCCGACATGTCCAAGATTTACTGAGATCCTGCTAGGGCCAGGAGACACTGCGGGGGGAAAAGGCAGTCCTGCTTTCTGTGGCCCTTTAAAAAGCTATTCATTGGGTCTGGGCCCAATTCCATGTAGGTTTAGTGATGACGGCTGTGTGCTGTGCCTTGTTACCTGCTCTCTCCCCTTGTTAGCAACAGTAGTGACATCTGAGCTCTCATTCAGGATCAGGAAGGAGCTCTGTTCCGTCTTGAGGCCACCAATGCAGCCCTAGTGCCAGAGCGACTGTGGGGTGGGAAGGGGCGGGGAGGCAGAGGGATGAGCCAGACGACCAAGGGAGAAGATGACTTCAGACAGCAACTTGTGCGATGAAGAAAAGAAGTGAAGAGATCAAGGCCTGGGTGCTGTCCCCTCGGATGAGGGAGGGCCCCCTAGAAAACCTGGCTGGGCTGGTCCCAGGGGATGCAGTGGAGTGTGGTTGGGGCTGTTGTTGCTGGGTGGTGGGGGGAGGGGAGCGGGGGACTGGCTTGGTCGGTTAGTGGTTGGGAAATGGTATCTGGGCAGTAGGGAATTGCAGGCAAAAAGCACAGGGTATGCAAGGAAGAGAAGAGGCGGTACAGTCGGAGAGACCAGTGCTGGGCGGGTAGAGGGCTAAGGGCCTGGACTTCTGGGTTCTGAGGGAGTAGACGGTGGTCCTGGGACCCCCAAGTCCAGGGGTGGGGCTGTTGGCCTCTGAGGATCCAGGGTCTGTGTTTTTCCTAATCTGCTTGGCATTAACCTCCAGCCGGCCTCTCAGCACTCTCAGAGCAGTTTCCCTGTTCTTGAGGATGGGCAGCTAGGAGTCTAGTAGAAAACAGGGGCCTTGGGGAGGGGCTGTGGGAAATGCCCCCAAGTCCCCCAGGGCCTGGGAAGAGCTGAGGCTGCCAAACCCAGGGGGTGACGGGGAGGGGGGGACCCTAGAGGAACAATCCCTGCTCTGTCCACTTGTTTCCCACGGACTCAAGCCAAACCAAACCACTGCCCAGGCCAGTTCTGCTTCCAACCAATCCTGGTACCCTTCCCAGATTCCTCCTTCCTTTCTCAGGCCTCCACCCCAATCCCACTCACCCTAGGACCCCAGAGGCCAGGCCCTCAGATGTCTCTTCCCCCAGAACTCAGGAGTCTGGGACCCCAGACTTCTTCTCCCTCAGACTCAGGCGTCTGGACCCCCAAGCCTTTTTCCTCAGGACCCCAAAGTATAGGGCTCCAGTCCTTTCCTCCCTTAGAACCTGCCATCGCAGCCTCTGGTTGGTATTGGGCGTCCCCTAGTGGAGGACAGAGTGGCTGTGAGCTACTTAGCAGTTAGAAATGGAAGAATTTATTTGGTCAGTCAACAGACAAGAGGGAGGGCTTTGCACGGGTCCTAAGGTCACAGTCTAGCTGAGAGACCATGCTCCAACAGATCGGGACTCCGCAGTTTACGAGAGAAGAGGGCAGACCTGAGCATTTTGTATCTAGAGTTGAAAGCAGAGATGGCGTTACAGTGAAGCTGGAGATTATGTTTCTTTTTTTTTTAATTTTAAGATTTTATTTATTTGTCAGAGAGAGAGAGAGAGACAGCACAAGCAGGGGGAGCAGCAGGCAGAGGGAGAAGCAGATGGGAGCCCGACCTGGGGCTCGATCCCAGGATCCTGGGATCATGACCTGAACTGAAGGCAGACGCCCAACCAAGCCACCCAGACTCCCTTGGAGATTATGTTTTAAATCCCCTCACTTGCCTTAGCTTTCTGTGATCCTCTATTTAAGCTTGTGCATGTAATTTTGTACTTTATTTTTTTTAAGATTTTATTCATTTATTTGACAGAGAGAGAGCGATCACAAGTAGGCAGAGAGGCAGGCAGAGAGAGACAGGGAAGCATGATCCCTGCTGAGCAGAGAGCCCGAGGCAGGGCTCAATCCCAGGACCCTGAGATCATGACCTGAGCCAAAGGCAGAGGCCCAATGCACTGAGCCACCCAGGCGCCTGTAATTTTGTATTTTAAAAAAAGAGGCCCACAAATCTGAAAGTTCTTTTGTCGGTGGACTTGAATCAATACGTTCATTTCTTCCCTAGACTTAAAAGCTGGCCTATGGGGTGCCTGGGTGGCTCAGTGGGTTAAGCCTCTGACTTCAGCTCAGGTCATGATTTCAGGGTCCTGGGATCCAGCCCCACAATTGGGCTCTCTGCTTAGCAGGGATCATGCTTCCCCCTCTCTCTCTGCCTGCTTGTGATCTCTCTTTCTGTCAAATAATCTTTTTTTTTTTTAAGATTTTATTTATTTGACAGAGATCACAAGTAGGCAGAGAGAGGGGAAGAGAAGCAGGCTCTGCACTGAGCAGAGAGCCCCATGCGGGGCTTGATCCCAGGAGCCGGGGATCATGACCCCAGCCGAAGGCAGAGTCTCTAACCCACTGAGCCACCCAGGCGCCCCGTAAATAAAATCTTAAAAAAAAAAAAAAAACTGGGCCTACAATTTTTTTCTAAATTTCTATTTATTTATTTGAGAGAGCCCGCGAGAGACAGCACAAGGTGGGGGAGGGGCAGAGGGGCGGGCCGCCAAAACAGGGCCTCCGTCCCAGATCATCATGATCTGAGCTGAGGGCAGACGCTTAACCAACTGGGCATACAATTTCACAGACCGGTTCTTGCCGCTCTTATTATCTGCGAGTGAAGTGGACTGGGAAAGACATTCTCTAAGGTAACTTCTTGCCCTTGTGTTGGTCCTCAACATGAGGTATATAGGTCATCAACCTTCTGCAGTTTCATCCCTTCACTTAGGAATCATCCCCTGGGGCAGTGCTGGAGGCAGAGCAGTGAGCGTGACAGTCCTTGGCTTCCCCCACCCAGGGCAAGACATGCCACACCCGTCCCTGACAGTAATGACAGAAAGTGGGCAGGGAACAGGAAGTCCGGGAGGCGGTGCTCGCACAGCCTGGGGGCGGAGGGTTTCCTGGAGGAGGTGATGTTACTGCCTAGCTGGGACCAAGAGGAAAGTGGAGGGACTAGATAATAAAATGAGAAATAAATAACTGGACAATCCTAGTGCAAAGCCTGCTCTCCCTTTCAGGTAATCTGTTAAGGTCAGTAATAACAGTGCAAGATATTGATCACCTGCTAAGAGTGAGGTGGGGCTGGGTGGGTGGGTGCTGTTTACCTTCGGGATCTCACTAGGTCTTTCCAAAACCCCGGTGGGGCAAAAGCGGGAGTGAAATGCGTTTAACAAGAAGAGGTAGAAACTGAGGCCCAAAGAGGTATGTCCCTGGTCCAGGATCATTTAGAAGGCCAGTAGCACAACCAGAGTTTAAACCCAGGTCACACCGCCACTCAATTCATACATAAGGCTTAGCAGCCGCTGATACATTTTTTCCTGATCCTCCATACCACCCTCCCCAGGCCAGGGGTCTTGCAACACGTGTCCCGGCTTGAACAGTACAAAGATACATAGCTAAGAAAAAGTATGAAGTTCACAGAGCCCTTGAAGCCGAGTCCGAGTTGCAGAATTTGCCCCGGAACGCGTATGCGGGCTAAACTAGGTGACCCGAAAGCCTGGGGAGGGGCTGGCGGCTGGGAGAACCCTGAAATACTAATTCTGAATGCACGGGAAAACTCCAACCTAAGGGTACTCGAAAGAAAGGATTTCTTTGGGAAGAGGTGTCTAAAGGCTACGACATTGGCCGAAGGCCCGCCCCCTGAGTCTGGGTACGGTGGCCGCGGAGGTTCAATCAACACAGGAGGGGCGCGCATTGAGCAGATCGTTTTGAGGCGTTACGGTGGCCGGGAAAGCTCAAGAAACACGGAAACGGAAAGGCCTCGGAGAATCGGCGAGGCGGGCAGGATGGCCTACAACGCTCACATAGATGGAAGACGCGAATTTACCCGAGAAAGCAAACGGAATGGAGCCTCTGAGAAGCTCCTACGCCCGCAGAGAAAGTCCGGAAGTTCAAAGCAGGGAGAACGTCTACTAGGTAAAAACGAACTTACGGCGGAGAGGAGGCGGAATACGGTGGCCGAGCTGGTTCTTTCTTAGCCGGAAGCGGCTCTCTCGAGAGGCGTGGCTTACGCGCTCCGGCCGGATACGGTAGCTGGCGGCTCCTGCAAGTGTAAAATCTCGCGCGATCGCGCTGGCGCCGACGGGGACGGGGCGGGGCTGGCGGCGGGGGCGGGGACCCGGAGCGGGAAGATGGCGGCGGCGCAGGAGGCGGACGGGGCCGGCAGCGCCGTGGTTGCGGCCGGGGGAGGCGGCTCCGGTCAGGTACGGAGGCCGAGAGGGGCCTGAGGGGTTCTTCCCAACCCGGGGGGCCTCCCACGGGGCGTGTCCTGCCCCTTTTCGCGGGACCTGGTGCAGTGGGGGCTCCTTGCCCAGAGGGACCTTGAGTACCGGGCCCAGGTGGGGCCGGGCAGCCCTGGAGGCCGGACAGTGCGGGGAGCGGGGCCCTGTTGCACGCCGGGTCCTCTGCACGCTCGCGCTGGGCGGCCACCAGGCTCTTTGCTGGAGCCGGGAGACAGTGGCGCGGAGGGGCGCAGACTTAAACCCAAGCGCCCTGGTTCTCTACTCTGCGATTCC